ATGGTTCCCTTTTCCTTTGCCTCAACAAAGAAACGATGCAACATGTCCAAACGTTCCTCTAAGCTCTTGTCAAGGTCCTTATCGATTACCAATTTTCCAATTCCAGCAGCCAGCTTGGTATTTGGCGCTTCGTCCTCTTCTGGCGCCCAGTCGTCATCATCATCATCATTTGAGCTGTTCTAAACCAAACCCATTTACTATATGAAGAACTTCAAAACTTCTTCTACAGATGCGCAGAATATGAGTGCAACTTACACGATCCCCATTGGTCTCAACACTAAGATCCTCTTCCTTTACATGCCCGTTGCCATTCTGCTTGTTGTCCTTGGCTACAAAATATTCGAAATTCTTTTTTGAACGCAAAAGGAAAAATTCGTGAGCATAAAAGACTAGGTGATAGACTCACAAAAGTCAACCTCAATCTTGGGAGGGTTCTTAAGGATGTAAGTAGAAAGTCTGTGACGATTATCGATAATAAATGCGTGGCCACATGCCTTACATTTGCTGTGGATCTGGTTCTTTCGCACTGACTGAACGATGAGGCATGAGAAGCTTCTAGCACAACTTATTTAATTGAAAACAAAACGTACCAATGCAGTCTCTGGGTTCTCGCAAGCGGGGCATAGTACAAATTTCCTGATGAAGCCATCGAGGATGTCCTGCAACTTCGCAGCGTCATGCTCTCCATTCACGATGTAACGCTCGTTTTTCGCATCATAGTTGGTCTGTGCGCCCAATTCGCAACCGAAGTACTTGGTAGGATCTGGAAACTCAATATCAAAACAAGTCCTGCTAGGAAAACTAAAGAAATACGACGAACTCACACATTGGTGGGCGTTCAAGTGATTTAGCTATTTCAGACATATTCGCTACAACAGTTTTGATTCCGTTGCCCTTGCCCTCTACCTAAATCAAAGATGATATGCTCATAACTGTCGAAATGCTTAACGATACCTAATGTTCTTCTTTACAAAAAAACTGCGGAAAACTAACTCGCAGCCGTCTCACCAATGCCTATGCGAGGCGAAAAAACTTATCTATATACTTCGCTTGGAACTCACCTTTGCAAGCAGTTTTGGCATTTTGTAACGGTAGAATGGATCGGTCACAGCACGGTTGACGTTGAGAGCCATTGTGAATCAATTCCCGTTCGGCTGAAAAGGAAATTCTTGAGATTGTCGTTGAGTTAGACTGCTTTGAAAAAATGAAGTATTTTGGAACTTACAATAATTACTAGAATGTTGAGAGTAGACGCAAAGCGACGACTTGCCGTTGTGCAAATTGCATACGATATTGGTATCGTAGACAAAGGCGTCGAGAAACAACGACGCTAACGATTCGCTAGTCTTCAGTTTCTTTCTTTTCCTTGACAACCTCCCTGCAATAATAAACTTTTAAAAAAGTCTAACAAAGTTGTATTCT